AGCAAGAAGTAGCAAACACACTGGACTTATTAGTGAGACATTTGTATGCCAGAGGATGGGAAATAAATCCAACTAAAATTTAGGGACTTTCTACCTCGGTAAAATTTCTAGGGTTCCAGCGGCATGAGACCTATGGAGATATTCCTTCTAAGGTGAAACATAAGTTGCTGCATTTGGCCCCTGTTACAACCAAGAAAGAGGCACAATGCCTAATGGGCCTATTTGGATTTTGGAGGCAACACATTCCTCATCTGGGTGTGTTACTCTGGCCTGTTTATCGAGTGACCTGAAATGCTGCCAGATTTAAGTGCAGTCTAGAACAAAAGAAGGCTCTGCAACAGGTCCGGCTGCTTTGCAAGCTGCTCTGCCACTTGGGTCACATGACCCCTCAGATCCAGTGGTGCTTGAGGTGTCAGTGGCAGATAGGGACGCTGTTTGGAGCCTTTGGCAGGCCTCCATGGGTGAATCACAGTGGAGACTTCTAGGATTTTGGAGCAAGACCCTGCCACTTCTGTAGATAACTACTCTCCTTTTGAGAGACAGCTCTTGGTCTGTTATTCGGCTTTGGTGGAAACTGAAATTTGACTATGGGTCATAAAGTCACCATGCTACCTGAACTGCCTATCATGAACTGGGTGCTTTCTGACCCATCTAGCCATAAGGTGGAACGGCACAGTGGCATTTCATCATCAAATGGAAGTGGTATATATGTGATAGGGCTTGAGCAGGTCCTGAAGGCACAAGTAAGTTACTTAAGGAAGTGGCTCAAATGCCCATGTTCTCCACTTGTGCCACCCTGCCTTCCCTGCTCCCCCCCCGCCCAGCCTGCACGAAAGGCCTCATGGGGAGTTCCCTATGATCAGTTGACAGAGGCAGGGAAGACTAAGGACTGGCTCACAGATGGTTCTGCACGATATGCAGGCACCATCCGAAAGTGGACAGCTGCAGCACTACATCCCCTTTCTAAGTGCATGTGTATACTTGTGCTAAGAAAATATCTTTATTTTATTTCCTTTGTTTTTCCTTTATCATGTGACCTTAGATTTATGGACTTCACATCAGCATTTAAGCATTTAAGTGTTGTTCATATCAGCATTTAAGTATTGTTAACCTTATGTAATAGCATTTGGTTTGGGGATTGGTGCGTTTCTGGTTGTATGAGGATAGTTGTATTATGTTAGGTATAATTATGACCTTATTATTGTCTTTATTTGAAGATTATGTATGATTTCAGGATGTGTGTATGGGTTCAAGTTGACAAGGAGTGGACTTGTGATGGTTAATACTGTCAACTTGATTGGATTGAAGGATACAAAGTATTAATCTTGGGTATGTCTGTGAGGGTGTGGCCAAAGGAGATTAACATTTGAGTCAGTGGGCTGGGAAGGCAGACCCACCCTTAATCTGGGTGCAAACCATCTAATCAAGTGCCAGTGTGGCCAGATTGTAAAGCAGGCAGAAAAATGTGAAAAGGCTTGACTGAATTAGCTTCCCAGCCTACATCTTTCTCCTGTGCTGAATGCTTCCTGCCCTTGAACATCAGACCTCAAGTTCTTCAGCATTGGGGGTTGGAGTGGCTTTCTTGCTTCTCAGCTTGCAAAGGACCTGTTGTGGAATCTTGTGATCCGCTGAGTTAATACTACTTAATAAGCTCCCCTTTTTATATATATATATCTCCTATTAGTTCTGTCCCTCTAGAGAACCCTGAATAATACAACTTATGTCATTGATCTAATTTATTGATTTGTGTACATCGAACCAACCTTACATCCCAGAAATAAAACCTACTTGATTGTGGTGGATTAGCTTTTTGATGTACTCTTGGATTCAATTACTAGTATTCTATTGAGAATTTTTGCATCTGTATTCATCAAGGATATTGGCTTGAAGTTTTCTTTTTTTGTTGTTCCATATCAGAATGGTGACGACCTCATAGAATGAGTTAGTCTCTCCTCTTTGATCTTTTGGAATTGTTTCAGTAGGCTTGATGTCAACTCTTCTTTATATGACTGGTATAATTTGACTAGGAATCTCTCTGGTCCAGGAGTTTTTCTGGTGTAGGTTTTTTAGTACTGATTCAACTTCAGAACTCATTATTGAGTTCTAAAACTCACTTTCATGTACTCTTCAAAAGACTGTATCTTCTTCTGTTGTTGGGTGGGGTGTTCTCTCAAGGTCATTAGGTGAAGTTGGCTCCTGGTGTTCTTCTGTATCCTTACTCCTTGTCTTTCTCTCTTTTTTATTGACTGCTGAGGATTAATGGTCCAACTTTAACTCTAGATTAGTCTATTTCTCTTTTAGATTGTAACTCTGTTTTATATATTTTGAAGCCCTGTTATTAGGCACATGTGTATTTTGGATTGTTAGGTCTTCTTGATGAAATGACCCCTTTATCATTATGTAATGTCTCTTCTTATCTCTGGAAGCATTCCTTGTTCTGAAGTCTATTTGTACTGATATGAATACAGCCTTCACAACTCTATTTTCACTAGTATTTGTATATATTTTTCTCAGTTTTTAAATTGAGATGTTCAGACCATTTGCATTAAAGTAATTGTTAATAGGATTGAATTTAAATCTACCATCCAGTTGGTTATTTCTCCTTGTCCCATTTAAACTTTCTTCCTTTTTTCATATTTTTCTGCCTTCATTTAGATTGAGTTTATCTCCACTACTTACTTATTAAATTAATTTTTAATAGTTTTATTATTTTCCACAATGTTTATAATATACCCTTTGATTTTTTCACATTCCACCTTCAAATGAAAGAATTCTACTGGATATATAGAAACCTTACATCATTGCACTTCTCCTTCCTCCCTCCCAAAATGTTGTGCTATTGCTCTTTGTAATAGAGGCTTACTTCTATTATGTTATAGCTCTCGCAATACATTGACACTATTTTTACCATGAATAATTGGTTTTGTTTTAAAGTGATTATGACTACAAATATTTTGAATAATTTCTTTATTTTACCATTTCTGGTGCTCCTTATCTTTTATGGTGAATCCCAATTTCCATCTGGAGTCACATTCTTTCTGTGAAAAACAACCTTTAGCATTTCTTATAGCACAGGACTGCTGCTGCTGATGTCTTTCAGCTTTTCTTTTTCTGAAGAAGTCTTAATTTTGCATTCAGTTTTTAAAAGTGATTTTGCTGAGTATGGATACTGGGTTGAGAGTTTCATTCCTTGTATCACTTTGACAATGATGTTCCATTATCTGTTTTGAATAGTTTCTGACTAGAAATCTGATCTTTTTTTCTTTGTATTCAATAGTTCCTTTTTCTCTGACTGCCTTTAAGATACTCTCATTGTTTTTCAACAGGTTGACTATGATTTATTTATTATTGATTTTTCATATTTATTCTGCTTGAGGTTTCCCGAGCTCCTTGGATTTGCAGATTGTTGATTTTTATTGTTTTTATAAAATTCATAGCCATTATCTGTTTTGCTGGGTTTTTTTCCCCACTTCTTTCTCTCTGTATTCTTCTTTTGGGACTGTAAGTATTCAAATGTTAGATCATTCATATAGTTTCATAAACCTTCTATGCTTGTTCTGCTTTTTTTTTGTCAGGAATTTTTTTTTTTTGTATCTATGTTGGTTTGGATAAGTTCTGGTAAACTATGTTCAAGTTTATGGATTGTTTTGTTAGTTGTGTCTAGTTGGCTCCTCAGTGCCTTCAGAGAATTCTTCATCTCTGATATTTACCAAAATATTCTTTAACATGTTAACATAGGTATCAGACAAACCCAAACTGATAGTTTCCAGATGGTGTCTTTTCTGAGTCTGTCTGTCTTGATTGCTTTATTATTTAACAGTGGCTTATCTTCCCTCTTGAGTTTTTGGTGTGTCTTGTAATTATTTAATCAACCACTGGGTATCATAAATAGAAGAAGAGTAGAGATTGCAGTAAATATTATTTATGCTTTGAAATGGGCACCCATCTTCTCTTGAAAATATGTTTTGTGGTCAGTTGAGTCAATCTAGTCACTAGTTGAACTGAATTTGGCATTTGTGCTTGTTGCTTTTATCTTAAATGCACCACAGGTTTAAATTCCTCCAGTGATGGGCTGCTGCTATCTTTTGCTTAGAGTGGGGCCTGGGGTGTGGAAGAATTTTCTCAGTGTTCCTGTCTATTCTGAGATTTTAGCAGTCGCTGCATCCCTGCACTACAGATGGGATATCTTCATACGCATAATCTAACCCTATTGAAACTGCTGTTTCTTGTTAATGAATGCTCAATCTTTGGTGGAAATAAACAAATGCTGTATCTCCTGGAGCCACTTCAGTCTTAGTCAAGTTGTGCACACCTAGGCTTTGAAGGGAATGCATTCTCAGTGTTCTTGTGCCTTATTTGGTTGGAACTTGAACCTGTGGTAGGTTTGGAGAGAAAGAGTAGCAGATGTCTGCTACGTTGCAATGCAGGATGCTAGGCACAAGAAAATTTCCTGTCTCTCCTCTAAGGAAATAAGATTTGATCATCTACCTATCCCTGAGAAGTGAAGGGCTTTGCCTGCAGTTCTAGATGCAGAACCATTTTCTCCCCCATTGCCCAGAAGCTTAAGGCTTTGGCTTTTCTGAGTAATGGTCTAGGGAATCGCGCAAGGTTTTCATATTTGACCCTGACAGTCAATCACCACCTACAGCTTGCAGTGCCAAATGTAACTCCCTCTGGTCTCTCCTGTCCTGTGTTTCTCATGAACATTAAGAAGAGATTTCTAAAAAAGAGCTTGCACGTGAGCATAGTTTCTGGTGAGAAGAATTCTGATATGTTAACTTCCTCTAAACTTTTAAATAAAATATTTCTAAGAATTAAATAAAGTTCTAGAATGCTATGAATCTATTCCTTGGGCTTTTTGCACATCTGTCTACCTGCTAATCAAGAAAAGAGAATGGTCGTAATTCTCAGAGACTTTTTCCTGTTTGTGTCATAAATGACATCACATGTTTTTCTGTTCTAAGAACTATTCAGCTTGATTTTTTCTGTTTTAATTTTAGCACTACCTGAGCAAAGCCATGTGGTCCAGGATTGCTACCATGGTGATGGACAGAGTTATCAAGGCACATCCTCCACCACTGTCACAGGAAGGACCTGCCAAGCTTGGTCATCTATGGAGCCACATCAGCATAATAGAACTACAGAAAACTACCCAAATGCGTATGTCATTAATCTTACAGTAAGCAAAACAAGGTCCAACTAAAATTTGTCTTAGAAAAGGTGTACGTCAAGCTAACTTTTTACAACTAAATTTTTCTCACACACAGAATGCATGGCAAAATGTATGAGGAACATTACTTTGAGCAAAGAGTCTGACAGAAGAGAAATGTTAAGCTGGCTCTCTTTCCTAAGAGTTTGATAAAATCAGGAGAAGATCTGGAGGTGGTGAGGTCACAATAATGGAAAATCAGAATGTTTAGACAGAGTCAGCTTCAACAATACTCACTAAAGGTCAATGTGATCTTTACTCCTTGAAATTCTATCATTCTAATCTCCAATTCCTGAAGTGAAGGGTGTGTTGTCCTTTTCTGTCTTGGCTAACAAGGAAATTATATGTGCATCTCTATGGAGAAACGATATTTTTCTATATCTGTGTCTATTCCAATGGGTAGAAACACCCTGGGTCCTGAGCAGCAGTGTTCTGAAGGAATACGAGTTGCCAGGAAGAGAAAAGCAAAGACAAGAAGGCAGATGAAAGTAAGCAATGAGACAGATGCGAAAAACTAAAAAGTGTGGGAAGATAGAAGCTGGGTTCTGACCACACCATGGCTAGTCTTTCACACATAAGTGACTACCAAAGACAAGAAAAAATGATATCCACATGTTATACAATAGGCAGTAGAGGACCAAAAATATTGCGAGAGAGAGAACAATGAGATCAACTCAACAGATGCACTGGTTTTCTTCCTGGATACCCTTCCTGCACCAAAGAGCAACAGATGGAGCCCAAAAGAACTGTAGCCATCTTGCTGAACAGAGGAGAGACATTATAGTTTGGGATTATTCAGGTGGCTAGGATTTTCTAGGCCTGCTAAGAATGAAAACAGATTTGTGGAGGAAAGGAGCTCTAGGAATATGCATAGAAGTCTCCTCGAGTCGTTGGCTAAACATGAAGCTGCATGTACACAGAAAATAGGTCCACAAGAAAGTAGGGCAAAGAACATCTATGGAAGAATAGCAACTACAATAGAACAGTGAGCTCAATAAACATGACAGAGCTCAAATAGCAATAAGGGATGTTGGAATTCGGACCAGACAGAGGAGAGAGACTTCACTGAACATCTTGGGCATTCAGTAGAGACCCAGGAAAAGCCATACTTTAGGAGTAGAATTAGTATATTCTTACAATAAAGGCAGCTCCAGACAAACAATAGCAAAGGTGAAAAGCAAGTCTTCAAGCATCAGAACGATGTCCAAGTCAATGAATTGCCTGTGAGAGGAAAACTCAACCATCAGAGGTAAACATCAAAGTCAAGTGGCTCAGTTATGCAGTATCCACAATGCAAGGCCTAAATATAAAACTTGAGTACACATAGAAATCTTTTAGTGTGACCCAGGAGCAGGAGAAAAATCAGTCGATACAAACAGATCCAGAAGAGACAGAAATGTTTAGAATGGCATAACAATTTGATATATCACTATATAATAACTGAGTTCTAGGATTTAAGAAAACATGAATATGGAGTGAAACAGATACCTTATCCAGAGACAGAAACAGTATAAAGAGCCAAATCAAAAAAAGAATGACTAAGAGATACGTCTTAAATGAAAAAATTACTGGATGGCCTTCCCATTGAGATAGACATTTCAGAAGAAAAAAGTAAATGAAAAATAATTGCATAGAACCTACAGAACCAGATACACACACAAAACACACACATGCATACACACACACTCAAACATGTATAAACTTACAAACACACAGACACATTCACAAATGCTGAAAAATGAAATCAACTGAGCCACACAGACGTGAAGGAAAACATAAAAAGATTTCCTACATGTGGGAAGCAAGTCACAGAAAGGGGGAAGGAGATTGGAACAGAAATATATACCAAAAGCAAGAATGGCTGAACACTTTCCAAATATAAAGAGCATTAAAAAATCACAGACTCGAGAAGTTCAATGGCTCAGAAAAATAATTTCTAAAATGAAAATTATAAGATGCCACTGGGTATAAGGCAGTTCAGCTGTCAGAGGGCAAAGACATAATACACAGAAAAGTCTCATAAGGAACAGTAAAAACAAAAATCTGTGTCTTGCTAGAGGAACAGTGATACAAATGATTAATGTGACCACATCAGAAACACTGCAACCCAGGAACAAGATAATAACATTAAAATAATAAACATAAGAAAGAAGAGCTCAACTGAGAAGATTACATCCAGAAATAAAATGCCTTAAAGATTATACATGTTGGATAAATGCATATTGTGCACTCCCCTAAAGAAAGAACCCAGAAACTATAAGAATTCGAAATCGGCAGGCTTATGTAACAAGAGAGGTGACCTGAAGGGATTATATAGAAGAATAGTAAAACAACGGAATTTTCTGCAGCCCACCTAATGAAGAACCTAGAAATTCACAAATGTAGAGGAAAATGCTGAATGTGTTCTTGATCAAATTTCTATAACTTTTTAAATGAGAGTTGACTACTTGAAGCAAAATGATACAAATATATTTAACTTTAGCATATGTACACGTAAAAATTTGAACAGGTAACATAAATCATGTAGGGAATAATGGGAAGTGTAGCACTGTAAGTTCCTTTCCTCATGCACGAGGTTATGTAATATTAATAAAAGGTTACTATGTGGGTTCAAAGGGATATGGCAAATCCTAGAACAATCACAAAGTTTGGAAATCTGAGGTTTCAGGTGTAATGATAATATTCCATGCGTTCCAAAGAGGGAAGCCAAGGAAGAAAAAGAAGCCTTTCAAGAGTTCAGGCTCTTATACATCCAGTTGCTGATTGAACAAGCTTCCTGGAATGGAGGGTCTGAGGTTGAGACTAGGTCACAACTGTAGATTCTCGAGAGAGTGTTGGATCCCCATGGACCATAACACATTTCCTAATTCCTCAGGCAGCCACAGGTCATGAATGTGAGGATACTGAGAGGTTGGAGCAACGTACTCGGGAGGCATAAGGAAGAGCGAATGCTTCAAGATCCCCGCAGCCTAAACTCCTCCCCTGCTTTGCCCCCTTCTTCATTGTTTTCTGCCCCTCCATAACTGACCGACCTCTTCAGATCTCTTAGTCTACCCTGCCGTCTTCCTTGATGCCATGGTTCCCACTGTTCTTTCAACTCATCTGCTTTCCCTCAGTCCCGGAGTGACTGCGGCCAGCAGAGGATAGATTGAGAGCAAGAGAGAAGTTCCTGCCCGGGGAACCCATTCTAGAGATACTGCATCCTGCCTGGGAGCAAGTTTTCCAGGGCAGCTTTGAGAAGTGTTGCAGAGATAAACCTACATGACCCACGTGATATGGGAATGCCAGACAAACTATTTGCACTATGCATTTCCATGTGAAACGTAGAACCTTTTCACTATGTATTGAGTACCTAGTGTGTGAAGGTTGACCTGGAAAGGCTATCCTTCTGGATGCCGTGTTTTCTCGGAAGAACTACATGTTGGTTGCAACTCCCACTTTAGAATATGAAGTCCTACCGAGAGAGAGAGAGGGAAAACTAGACAGATACAGATACTTCTGTATGTGAATAAACAATGGCACAATACAGATGTCAAAATCCATACCAGTAATTCCAGAGAGATGGATTGGGCAGAAGGCAGAAGGTGAATAGTCTGATCATCTTTTGGCCACGTGTATACATTATCTCAGTGTCTCTAAGATGCGTTTTTACTTTAGATTTTAAAAAAATCATAATAATCTATTAACTAAGAGAAATGTGCAGAGAGAATTAGTGATTGAGAGCCATTTGTACTTGTGGCAATCATATGGTACTTTTAATGGGTATATGAGAAAGGCATCGGTAATGACCTTGCTGCAGCACAAACGAGACGGTGTAGAATTGCCCAGCCATAGTCATCCACCTCTTATGACATGTATCGTTTTGGAATTTCCGGTAAAGCGATCAGGAACTACTGCAGGAATCCAGATCCTGTGGCAGCCCCTTATTGTTATACGATGGATCCCAATGTCAGGTGGGAGTACTGCAACCTGACACAATGCTCAGACGCAGAAGGACTGCTATCGCCACCTCCAAATGTCACCCGGTTCCAAGCCTAGAGGCTCTTTCGAACAAGGTAAAGAGCCTGTGGCCGAACACCTACACGCTTAGACTCTGGGATGAAAAGCCATGGGAAATTCCCAGTGGTCGGCAGCTTTCAATGATAGTCTTCAGTGTTGACTGAGTTCTGCCATGCTGGGCCTGCATTGCACTCTCTGGGAGTCGTGAGTGAAGTTTCCGTGCTGGCGTGGGTGGGCTGTGTCTTTAGGATGGCTGAGCCACTCCAGGGTGATCGCCTGCACAAGTCACCTCGTTGTAAACGGACTATCTCTCCAGTGTCAGCCATGTTTTATTGTGACATGCTCTGGGGTGTGTGTCTTTTTCAAGCCAGGAAGCATTTCAAGGGATTTCTTCAAGTAGACAGCATTAGGTGCAATCTTCATGTGCAGAGGTTAAAGAAATATGACTCTGGAGCCTGTCGCCCTCGAGAAACCTAACAGGGCTTCCTTAATTCCATATCGCCCTGAGTCTGTGGAGCAGTACCATGACTCACAATGCTGTGAGCTCTGCAGCCCTAGGCTTTAGAGGAATGATTTCTCAGTGTTCTTAAACCTCTTTCTGGTAGCACTTATGTACCTGGGAGAGGGAGTGGAAAGAACAGTGGCAGCTATTCATTTGCAATTCAAGTTGGAGTGAGAGGATTCCTTCTCTCCTCCAAAGGAATAAGCTTTTGGCCTGCACATCCCTGAGAAGCAGTGTGCCTTCTAGTCAGATACTCAAGGCCTGTTTTCTGCCCCATGGCCGAGCCAGGCCTTAGGCTTCTTGAACAATTCTGAAACATGCAAAATTTCCATGGATGTCCCTGCCTCTGCCCCTGACAGCCGATTACCACCTGCAGTCCGCGTGCCGATGCAGCTGCCATATATCGATCTGCCCATCTTCTCATGACATTAGTAGTTTAGAGAAAGGTGCCCTTGACGGCGCGCGCAGTAATTTATTCTTGCTCTGTTCGCCATCTCTAAGGATGCAGGAAAGCAGCTCAAAAATGACCACAGTTCTAGGAAATGGTAGAATCTTTTGCTTTGGTGTTGGTTGTTGGTTGGTTTCTCACATCCATCCAGCCTACGGATAAGGAAAAGTACGTCGTAATTCTCATAGATTCCTTCCTGGTTGTGTCATCAGTGGCTTCACATGCTCTGATATCTCAGAGATACTCAGCGATTTATTATATTTCCTTTCAGCACCAGCTGTGAGCAAGGCCTGGGGTGCAGGAGTGCTACTACGGTAATGGACAGAGGTGTCCCGAGGCACATACTTTACACTGTCACAGGAAGAACCTGCCAAGCAGTCATCTATGACACCGCACTCTCATAGTGGACCCCGAAAACTACCCAAATGGGTATGTCTTTTATTCTTTACCGTAAGAGAAGAAAGAGGTCAACAATTTCTGTTAGAAGGGCGTGCTTCAAGCCAGGTTCTCGAATAACGTATCAGATGCAGATGGCGCAGCAAGATGTCTCGAGATGATTTTGAGACTAAGGTCTGAGAGAAGAGAGCATTAGCTGCCTCTCCCTCTAGTTTATGGAGCAGAAGGGTCATCTGGAGGCGAGGACATCATTATGAAAGAAAGTCAGAATGGCAAACGACCAAACACTTAGATTCCCCTTCCGCAGCACCCACTAAGGTCGTGAAGACTTTCAATTAGAAATTCTGTTATTCCTGACCCGAACCTGGAAGGGAACGTTGTGATGCCTTTTTCTGTCTGCGCTCATGAGGAAAGATAGGTGCTTGTTATGGACGAGTAAATGTATCTCTTTCTACGTCATATAACTCCAATGGGAGAAACACTCAGCCTTAAGTACCAGTGGCCTGAAGGGATACGGGTTCGCAGCAAGAGAAAACCAAAGCAGGAAGGCAGATGAGAGTGAGCAAAGAGACGGTTGCTGAAAAGCAAAAGGGATGGGGAGATGGACAGAAGCCTGGGTCTGATCACCCCCAGGGCCAATATTTTGGCCCCCAGCGACCACAAAGACATGGAGAAATGCTTTCTCCATGTAAGGACAGAGAAGATAGTGAGACCTGAAGTATTAGAGAAGAGGCAATGATGAGCTCAACTCCATAGATGCCTTGGCTTTCTTCCTGGATACCCTTCCTGCACTGACTAGCAAGGAGATGGAGCCCAAGCAGACTGTAGCCATCTTGCTGAAGGTAGGGAGGAGTTGGAGTTGGATGATTACTGGTAGTTAAACATTCTAAGTCTGCAGAAATAAGACCTGGTTTTGCATAGAAGGAAAGAACTCCTACAACTACGCATGAAGTCTCCTCAGTTGTTGGCCTGACATGGCGCTGCATGCAGCAGATGGTTCCACAAAAAAGTATGGCAAAGAACATTTACTGAGAAACAGCAACTACAAGAGAACATCAAGCTCAGTAAAAGAAGACAGAGATCACATAGCACTGTAGGAGACTGAAGTTCTTACCAGGTAGGCGGAGAGTCCTCACAGAACACGTTGCGAATTCCATGGAGACCCCAGAACAGCCATAATTTAAAAGTGGTATTAATATATTCCGAGAATACAGGCAGCTGCAGACGACCCCTTTTATAGCTGAAAAGCGAGTGTCCAAGCATCAAATCGGTTTTCAAGTCAATGAACTGCCAGTGAGAGGAAATCTCAAGTCTCTTTACAAGTAAACAAAGAAGTCAATTGGCTCAGCTATAGAGGTATCCCAGAGTGAGTCCTAATTTTAAACTTTATTGTGGAGAAGCGTTTCGTGTGATCCATAACCGGCGGAGAAGAAATCAGGCAATAAAAACAAGCTCAGAAATGACAGAAATGATTAGAATTGCATGAAAATTTGACATATCAGTATGACAACCGATTTCAAATATTTAAAAAAATGAATATGAAACAAAGCAGATGGCATATCAAGAGAGTGTGAGTATAGAATAGACAAATCAAATTAAAGAACTAATATAAAAACAGTATGTCTTAAATGAAAAAATTACTGCATGGCCACCTGATCAAGTTAGACATTTGAGGAGAAAAAATTAACCCAAAAGCAATTCTCCAGAACCTACAGAACTACTTACACACACACACCCAAATTCAAAACACACCCGTACACGGACATACGCAAAATCTCACAAGTTCTCTCACACACAAGGACACTCCTGAAGAAATAGTGCAATAAGAAATCAGCCGAGCTTCACAGACATGTAGGAAAATATGAAAGATTTCTTGCATGTAGAGGCTTCAAGTCTGAAAAGAGCACAAAGGGAGTTTGGAGTAGAAGCAAGTACGAGGAATCAAGGATGGTTATTAACTTTTCAGTTATGAAGAACGTTGAAAATCACAGTTTCATAAAACTCTAGGGATCAAATAGGAAATTTCAGAAACAAACAAACAGAAAAAACCGTGTGTGTTGTACTTCTGCTTACATCACAGGTCCCAGAAGGTAACAAGGCAAGGCATAATGCAGAAAGCATCTCAGGAAGTATAAAAAGAGCTGTGTCTTCCTGAAACACAGTGATACAAATTGCTAATGCGTTCACCTCAGAAACACTGAAGCCGGATGCAGAATATTATTAAAATGATAATCTGGACCAGAAGAGATCAGCCACGAGAATGCTGCATCCAGCAATAAAATGCCTTGATGATCATCTATGTTGGATAAATGCATATTGTGCACTGCCCCAAACAGAGAAACCAGAAACTGCCAGACTTTGGAATGAGCCACCTTATGTAACAGAGATGTGACCCAGAAGAATTAGATAGAAGAAGAATAGAAGAAGAAGGGAACTTTCTGCAGCCCACATAATGTAGAATCCAGCAATTCTAAATGTAGATGAATGTAAATGCAAAATATTTTCTTGATCAAATTTCTATGTCTTTTTGAATGAGAGTTGACTGCTTGAAGCAGAATGATAGCACACTATGTTTAAAGTTTAGCATATGATAACAGGTTGAACGGTGGCATAAATCATGCAGGTAATATTGGAAATGTACCACTGTCTTACCTCATGCACATTGGTGTGCAATATTAACAAGGTTACTGTTTTGGGTTCGAAGGGGATATTTGCAAATCCTAGAGCAATCATGATTTTGACCTCTGAGGTTTATGTTATAATAGAATATTCAGACATTCCAAAGAGGGAAGCCAAGGAAGAAAAATCTTACAAGAGCTCGGGCTCTTATACATCCAGTTGCTGATTGAACCAGCTTCCTGGAATGGAGAGGTCTGAGGTTGAGACTGAGTCACGGTTGTAGAGTCTCTAGAGAGACAGTGTTGGATCCCCATGGCCCAGAATACATTTCTCATTTTCTCGGGCAGCCACAGGTCATGAATGTGAGGATACTGAGAGGTTGGAGCAATGTTCTTGGGAGGCATAAGGAAAATGATGCTTCAAGATCCCCATCCCAAACTCCTCCCTGCTTTGCCCCTTCTTCATTGCTTTCTGCTCCTCCGTAGCTATCCGACCTCTTCAGATCTCTTGAGTCTACCCTGCCGTCTTCCTTGATGCCATGGTTCCACTGTTCTTTCCAACTCATCCGCTTTCCCTCAGTCCTGGAGTGGCTGCGGCCAGCAGAGGATAGATTGAGAGCAGGAGAGAGAGTCCGCCCAGGAACCATTCTAGAGATACTGCATCTGCCTGGGAACAAATTTTTCCAGGCAGCTTTGAGAAGTCGTGTGGAAGGAAACCCTGCTTGACCCGTGATATGAGAATGCCAGACAGTAACAGTATTGCACAATGCGTTTCCATGAAACCTTGAGCCTTTTACTACGTTTGAGTACATAGTATGGGAAGGTTGACCTGGAAAGGCTGTCCTTCAGGATGCATGTTTTTCTCGGAAGAACTACATGTTAGTTGCAACTCTCACTTTAGAATGAAGCCCTACTGAGAGATATGCAGAACTAGATAGATAGTACAGATACTTTGTGTGTGGAATCAACAATGGCACAATACAGGTGCCAAAATGCATGCAGTTATTCCAGAGAGATGGATTGGGCAGAGGTAGAAGGAGAATAGTCCCCGATCATGTTTTGGCCACGTGTATGC